ACACACACAGACACACACACACACACACTCACACTCACACACACACACACACACACCTGATGAATCTGTGCAATAAGTTTTACCCATAAACGACAGCACAAAACAAGACAACTTTTGTGTTTCGTATCGTGCGATGGTTTTGATATATCTTTGTATAAATTTCAGCAATGTGCATGCAGGCAGCAAACGTCGCGGCGCGTTTTGTGGCGACGGCGGTCATTCCCCAGCGACGGCCAGTGCTGGTGGTACCAGTCGCGGAGACACAAGCAATCACCCCACGCAACTGCCCGAGCGAGCTGCAAAGGGACACAGCAACGCCCCACGCTCCGCGCCCACCACACACCACCACGCACAAAGCAACAACGGTGACAGCAACGACGTTCAGCAGCGGCGACGAACCACGCAAGAAAAGCCATCACCCACCCATCCATCCATCCATCCAAGGTTGAGGCATCGAGCCAGCCAGCCAGCGAAGCCAGCCCCGCCAAGCCCAGCCAGCCAAACACGAGCAAATCCAGAGCGATCCCAGCAGCAGCCCGCACGACAAATCGGCGTTGTGACGTGCTTTCTTGCTTGAGCGCCGCCATCTTGTTGGCCTGATCGCCCTGCACCAGCAACAACAACAGCAAGCATTTGAAGAAGAAGAAGAAGAAGTAAGAGCTCAAAGCAGCGGCAGAAGCCACACCGTGGTGTTCTTGTGATGTTCTTGCGGTGGTGTTGTGATGTGAGCGACGGCGTGTTGCGTGCGAAGCAAAGCAACCTTGTTCCCTCCGCACTCCTTGCTTGCCTGCTTGCTCTGTCTGCTGAGCGAGGTGCCTGTTGACATTCACCCTTCTTACCATGCTTATGCAAAGTGCCGCTCATGTTCCATGGCTCTCTGCCAGCAGTCACAATTCTCTCTCCCCAACATACACACTCCTGCGCGCAAATCTCACCTTGCAACCCAACCATCCAACCACCATCCAACCCCAAACAGAGGACACACAAACACAAAGACGCTGCACGATGCCGCGAGAGCACTCGTTGCAGCACCAGCTGCAGGCACAGCAGCACAGCTGGCAGTCTTCACCACCGCCACAACAGCCACAGCGCAGATGCACATGCGCGAGCCGTGCGAGATCAGAAGCAGCAACAGCTGCGGCGGCGACAACCACCCAACACAACCAAACACACAGATCGAGGACGATTGCACGAGCAGCTATCCAGCAACCGTTACAGCACCGACATCACACATCAGCAGCCCAAGCATGTTCAGGAGCCCTAAGGCGGCGAACAACAACAACGTTCCTGCTCGCCGCACTAGCCCTATTCGCTTGCTTCTTCACAGGTTTGTGTGTGTGTGTGTGTGTGTATGTGTGTATGCGTGTGTGTCTGTGTGTGAGTGAGTTTGTGTGTGTGTGTGTGAGTGTGTGTGTGTGTGTGTGTCTGTCTGTCTGTCTATCTGTCTGTCTGTCTGTCTGTCTGTCTGTCTGTCTGTCTGTCTCTCCCTCTCTGTCTCTCTCTCTGTCTCTGTCTGTCTGTCTGTCTGTCTCTGCCTCTGTCTCTCTCTCTCTCTCTGTCTCTGTCTGTCTGTCTGTCTGTCTGTCTCTGCCTCTGTCTCTCCCCCCTTCCCCCTTACCCTCCCTGCTCTGTCTCTTTCCCCCTTCCCGCCTAGCCCTCCCTGCTCTCTCTCCCAACCCCTCGTCTCACACAAGCACACCACACCACACCACGCTACAGCGCTCCCCGTGACTGCGGTGGATATGGACAACACCGTGTATGGGGTGTTGCAACGCAACGCAGAGTACAGCACCTTTGTCTCCCTCATCGAGCGTGTGGGGTTGGACGCGCTCTTGCAATCGTCCGTGCCCCACACCGTCTTTGCCCCAACAAACGCCGCCTTCGACGCCCTCGGTGCGCTGGAGTTTGCACGCATCACCGCCCCAAAATACGAAACTGAGCTCTTCACCATCCTCTCCCGCCACATCATCCTGGACAGCACCATCGCCCTGTCCGGCTCCCTGTCCGTCAAGCGGCGCGCTTCAAACGGCGAGCTTCTCTTCATCTCCGGCAACACAGACGCCGGCTACACCGTGAACAACTCCCCCGTTGTCCTGGAAAACGTGCTCGCCCTCAACGGGTACGCGCACGGCGTGTCCCGCGTGCTCATTGTGGCCGGCCCGCTGCCCGAGCTCCCTCCAACCACCACCACCACCACCACCACCACGACAACAACATCGACAGGTAGCGGGGCCATCGGCTCCACGACCACCACGACCACGGCCGCGAGTGGCGCTGGCTCAGGGTCCTCCACCACCAGCACCTCGCCAGCACCCACTTCCAGCTCCACAACACAGACTGATGGGTCTGGTGCAACGAGCACGAGCACGACCACGACCACAACCACAGCGCCAGCGACATCGTCGGTGACCACAACTACCCCGACGCCCATCACGACGACGACGACCGGGTTTGGAGGCAGCGGCTCTGGTGATGTGGCAGGGAGCATCGCGGACTACCTCATTGCTCGCCCACGGTACTTCTCCGTCTTTGTCACACTCCTCAACGCCACGGACTTGCTTGATGTTCTGGCCAACGTGCCCCTGCTCCCACCGGCGCGCCGTCGCCGAGCCGCGCCAGAGGACCCGACACCACCGCTCACCATTGCAGCGCCCGTCAACTCGGCATTTGATCCCATCAACATCCAGGCCACCTTCTTCTCCAGCAACAACACGGACTTCCTGCGGCGCACGCTGCTCTACCACATGATTGAGGGCGTGTTCACCGTGGAGGAACTGGCCCTGCTCGGCTCCATCCCAACAGCAGCCGGACCCTCCGTCCGCGTCACCACAAACAGCGCCGGCACCACCTTCTATTTCCAGAACACGGGCAAGGTGAAGGCGGAGGTGCTCTCCCCAAACCTGGAGACGGGCAGCGGCGTTGTGCACGTCATTGACCGCGTGCTGCAAATCTCATCGGGGAATGGGCCGGCATGCGTGGTGGACGGCGTTGGAAACCTCATCCCCGGTGGCCCGCTCGGCGTGTGCGAGTGCGGCTTGCAAGACCCGTCCTTCACGGGCAAGCTGAATGCCATGTGGATTGGCAACTACTGCGCCGAGTGCCCGTCAGACTCGTTCTGCGCGCAGCAGCTGTGCGCTCTCAACGCCACCTCGGGCGACTTCCTTCCGTTCATGAGCCAGCTCAGCCTGTGCGAGTGTGTGGATGGCGGCTTCATCAACTTCACGAGCCTCAACCCAACATGGCGGCTCACCGTGTGCCAGGAGTGCCTCGGCCTTCCAACCTGCGCAGCCACCTCATCCACGTCCACGAGCACAAGCACAAGCACATCGACAAGCACATCGACAAGCACATCTACAAGCACATCTACAAGCACGAGCACAACAACATCCACGTCCACGTCTACAAGTACCACCACATCGACGAGTACATCAACAAGTACGTCGACGAGTACATCGACAAGCACAAGCACAAGCACAAGTACAAGTACGTCAACGAGCACCAGCACATCCACGTCCACATCCACATCAACGTCCACGAGCACAAGCACCAGCACGAGCACGAGCACCAGCACGAGCACAACAACATCCACGTCCACGTCTACAAGTACCACCACATCGACGAGTACATCAACAAGTACGTCGACGAGTACATCGACAAGCACAAGCACAAGCACAAGCACAAGCACGAGCACCAGCACCAGCACCAGCACGAGCACCAGCACCAGCACGAGCACAACAACATCCACGTCCACGTCTACAAGTACCACCACATCGACGAGTACATCGACGAGTACGTCGACAAGCACAAGCACAAGCACAAGCACAAGCACCAGTACAAGTACGTCAACGAGCACCAGCACATCCACGTCCACATCCACATCAACGTCCACGAGCACAAGCACAAGCACCAGCACCAGCACCAGCACCAGCACTAGCACTAGCACCAGCACGTCCACATCAACGTCCACGAGCACAAGCACCAGCACCAGCACATCTACATCAACGTCCACGAGTACGAGCACAAGCTCGATGAACACAACCACGGCGCCTCCCCCGCCCATCGACTGCATTGTGACGGGGTGGTTCTGCTTGAGTGTGAGCCCGAGCGGGTATGACCCTGACGTGTGTGGATGCACGCGCGACTGCGGCGGTGGTCTTCGCATCTACCGGCGGTTTGTGCTCCAGGCTCCAGCAAACGGCGGCGCACAGTGCCCCGCACTGCTCATGCAGGAGGCGTGCAACACCCATCCTTGCACAACCACAACCACAACGTTTACATCCACTTCCACCAGCACGTCCACGTCCACGTCAACCTCAACATCGATGTCGACATCGACGTCAACATCATCGTCCACATCCACTTCATCCTCAACATCAACATCCTCAACGAGCACGTTCACAACAACCCCATTCGTGACGACAACCAACGTGTCAAACACCACCACCATTGCCCCGACATCGTCCTTCACCCTCTCGGCTGCGCCCATTATTGGCACAGACGATGACGATGCGACGTGGCTCGTGCTCCTTCCCATCCTGGTGGCCCTGTTCGTGCTCATGTGCATCGTGCTCGGCTGCCCAGTCTTCTTCAGTGCAGGCGCCGTTGCAGCCTTTGCCGGCCCACGAGACGCCGCTGTCGGCAGTGAGTTGACCGCCCTGTGCATGCATGCATGTGCTTGTGTGTGTGCGTGCGTGTGCATGCATGTGCGTGCGTGCGCATTTGCACTTGTTACTGTGGTTCGTGGACGTGTTGAAACTGCTCCATGTCACAAGCTTTCATCATTGCCTGCAAGCAAACGAGAATTGTTCACTCGCCAGCAAACTCATCCATTTGTCTGCCATTGTTGCATCCTTTAGCGGATCCTGTCATGTTCGCCGGAGGATCTGACACGCTGCTGGACGAGGACGAGTGGGAGTACGACACATTCACCGCCGGCTACGACGGCACCGATGGCAGTGGTTCGTGTTTGTGTTTTGTTTTCCTGTAGCATGTCATCTTTTGGATGCAGTGTGTGGAAAGAGGAGGGGGTGTGAAGGGGTTGAGGGTTGAGGGGGTTGAGTGCACTGTCATTTGTCGTTGTCGCTGTCGTTGTCGCTGTCGTTGTCGCTGTCGTTGTCGCTGTTGTTGTGATCGTGTACAAGGGCCGCGTGGCCGCCGTGAGCGCGCAGCAATGATAGCTCACGAACAAGCACTGGTTTATGGATTTTTTTCCGAGTAGGTGTGATGATGAACAACGCCACCTACGGCACGGGTCCACCCCGTGGCACCGTCGTCACCAATCCCGTGTACGCCTCCATTCCACCTCGTGGTGTCATGGTCAACAACGCCGCGTACGGCGAGCCTCGCGACGTGAGTACACCGCAGCGCGCGCGTGTGTGCACGTGTATGTGTGTGCACGTGTGTGCGTATGTGAGAGTTGGGACAAGGATTGCTCTTGAAGAAGTGTTGTGTTCTGCACGTTATGCAGTTCCTCGCGCCACCACATCCTCATCACATCCCCCATCCTCACACCTTCACTCACTCGCTCACTTACTTCCTTACACCTTCGCCCTATCACCCACCCACTCGCCCGCTCACTGGCTTTCCTGTCGCTCCATGCTTCGTTGTGCACACAGGGCACGTGGAGTTCCCTCGCCTCAGATGTTACGCCACCAGAGTGGCACGAGTGATCCCACACAGCCTGCGCTGCTTATTCATTATCTTCTGCTCCTGTCATGTATGTTGTCTGTTGCTGATGTGACACGTGTTTGGCTCCTGTTTCAATCTTTTGTTTCCCAACGATCACAGCAGCTTGCTTGCTTGGCTCATGTACATACAACCAAGCGCGCTCGCGTGTCTGCCTGCACGTAGCAAGCGGACTTCTCTTCCCTCGCCTTCACAGTTGCTCCCACCCTTCTTCTGTACTCTTTGCTGTAGATACACACACACACACACACACACACACACACACACACACACACCGGCTGACCAGTTTTGTTTTGTTCCTCTGCGCAATTGGTTGGAAGTGGTGTGTGTCTCATGCGTTGCTGGGCTCATTTGCTTGTGCAGTCTCACTTCAACCCATTGCCACGCAGCACAACAGCCGTGAGGGCTGTTACATTACAACATTGTTACAATGCGCCCCATCGCTTCCGTTGAATGGTGGACAAGCGTGATGATCATTGATGAATCATGCATGGCGAGTACCAGTCAAAAAAAGGGATATGTGTGCGGGCCACAAGCAAATCAGACAAACACAGACAGACAGACAGACAGACACACACACACACAGACACACGCACACACACACACACACAGAGATCAGTACACAACCATATCAAAAGCTATTGTCCTAGTCAAGATGAGAAAAAGTGTGCGACCCAATCTTGTCTGTGGCAACGAAAGCGAGACCAATGAATCAAAACACAGGTGTTGAGTGCAGCGAGAGAAGACACACATGAAGAGCAACAAAGGCACTGAATGAATGGGGCAGTATCACGACAAATGGTGGGAAATGGGGCGTGGGGAGCAGAATCGGTATGAAACAGCAATATGGTGTTGGGGGAGGTAATGTAACAACTGTACATGCACAACCTACTGAGAGGATGCATGCATGCCTAACTAACTCACTGATGAATACACTGCAGTACAAGGGAGAAGCGAAAGCTACGAGGTCACACAAGGGAACAAACAAAAGGAAAGGAAAGCGAGGGGGGGGGGGTCAAGGCAAGGGCGAAGAAAAGAAAGGGTCGATGCTTGGTTGGAAGTCATCCTTCGCACCTGTGGCAGCAGCACGACACGGTCACACGAAACACATGGGCGAAAGTAAGGTGAAGCGGAATACGCGCGGGCGTGGAGTGCACGCGCGTACAGATATGATACTACAGACTGTTGAAGGGTCTCAGAGAGAAGATTAGAAGAAATGGGTTCCACAAGCAGCCAGATGTGGTTCAACACATGTTTGAAACACACTGCCACTGTCAACAGCTTTATTTGAGCCAGGCAACCACGCATTTGCAGTTGCCTCATCATCGACCCTCAAAACACACACACACACACACACACACACACACACACACACACACACACACACACACACACACACATTCACACCTGGCTGTGTCATGAAGAGTTGCGATGGCCGTTGCTGTTGCTGCTGGCGGTGAAGACGGGATGGGTGCCAATGACTGCAGATCGCACCACGTCGCCCGACTTTGCCTTCGATATCACCCGTGGTGCCGTCGCTGCTGTCTTGAGCGGCGACGAGCGCGATGCTGCGCTGGATCTGCCGGTGCCGGTGCCCACACCCGCAGCAGCAGGTGCTGGTGGCGCCGCTGAGGTCGTCCCAGCAGACGGGGAACGAGGCGTGGTGTTGGCGTGTGCACCATTGTTCACGCCATTGTTTACGCCATTGCCTTGTGTGTTGCTCGCGTCATTGTTGGTGCCGTTGTTGCTGTGGGAGATGAGAGGACGCTTTGCCGGTGGCTGTCCGTCCCCCGATACTCTCATACGCTGCCTTGACGATGAAGATGATGACGATGACGATGATGGTGGTGTAGTGTGCGGCTGCTTGCGGTGCTGGCTATCGCCGTTTTGCGTGCTGTTGGTGGTGGTAGCGGCGGCGGTGCGTGAAGATGGGCTGTTGGACAATGAGGATGACGACGTGCCGTGGCTGACCGAGACAGGAAGCGACATCTCATCGGAATCATCTTCATCTCCGTCATCGTGTCCGTTCGCCGCCCGCCCTTCGCCACGCAGCGGCAGTACCGCGGAGGGCGCAGGTGCTGGGTACGCCAACGAAGACGACGGCGACGACGACGGCGATGATGACGAGGCGTGGGCGCGTGTAGCGTTGTGTCCATTTGGTTTTGATGTTGCGACGTCTTTGGAGTGCTGCTCGTTGTGAACGGTGGATGGTGGCTCTGGCGTGGCTGAGGAAGCATGTTCCTGCTGCGGGCGTTGTTGTTGTTGTTGTTGTTGTTGCTGGTGCTGCTGCTGCTGCTGCTGCTGCTGCTGCTGCTGCTGCTGCTGCTGCTGTTGTTGTTGTTGTTGTTGGTGCTGCTGCTGCTGCTGCTGCTGCTGCTGCTGCTGTTGTTGTTGTTGTTGGTGGTGGTGGTGCTGCTGCTGTTGTTGTTGCTGCTGCTTCTTCTTGGTTGCTGTTCGTTCCTTCCTGCGAAGGGCGAGTTTCCACATGCTCCACGTCGTCACGTGTTCCCGTGCGCTCACACGCGACGCCTCCTGCGTACATGTGCATGTATTCGTGTGTGCATGTGTGTATCGTATCGTAAGTGGCCTGTCTGCTCGCAGGGCATGCAGCTGTAGCGCCCCCCTCTCTTCCGTTCCCCGCACTCCCACTATCATTCCTCCCTCTCCCTTTTCGTACCGGCAGTGTGGCCAAGAATTCCTGCCAGCGGTGTTGCAGCTGCTCCTCAGCTGTCATCGAGACACCATCGCAGGAATGACAAGTGAGAATCAAGAAATGCGAAACCACAATGAGAATGCAGACATCCAAACGCATGCAGATTGCATAGACATGCTGGAAGGTAAACATACTTGGGTCAGGGGTTGGCGCGTTCGCAGTCGCAACGGTAGCCGCCTCCTCCTTCTCCTGCTGCTGCTGCTGCTGCTGCTGCTGCTGCTGCTGTTGTTGGTGGTGATGGTGGTGTTGTTGTTGTTGTTGTTGTTGTTGTTGTTGTTGTTGTTGTTGTTGTTGTTGTTGTTGTTGTTGTTGTTGTTGTTGTTGTTGTTGTTGTTGTTGTTGTTGTTGTTGTTGTTGTTGTTGTTGTTGTTGTGTTTGCTGTTGCTGTCGTTGTGTTTGCTGTTGCTGTTGTTGTTTCGTTGTGTTTGGCGGCGCCTGGCGGATTTGCATGACCAGTCTGCCCACGAGTTGCGCATCAGGTGCGTGAGTGGTGCAATCTGAGCACGCGGAAACCGCAAAGATGCGAGCAAGGCACACACACAGACACACACACACACACTTGCGCAGTTGTCAAGGAACCTGTTGATTGCTGCAACGTCGCGGTGTGCGACGGCCTCGCCCAACGCAGCCACGTCCACCTATGATGCAGCACCACACAGACACAGACAGACAGACACACAGACAGACACACAGACACACAACACGCATCATCATCATCATCAGCAACAATATGAACACGGTCGCATCACCACAGGTGGTCCTCATCACGAAAGTGATTATCATCACCATCACCATCACCACTGCGCACCTGTGGGGCAGCAGCCGAGATGATTCGTTGCACAGATAACGCCAGCTTGCGCGCTTTCTTCGCGTCTTCTTTCAACCGCGCCAACCAGGCAGATTTTCCTGTTCGGGGGAAGGAGGAGGGGGGGGGGCAACAGCAGAGAGGGAAGCAATGTCAGTGGAGACGAAAATGGTGGATATGGCTGTGTTCTTGCGTATGAGTGCGTGTGCGTCAGCGTGTGCGTCAGCGTGTGTGTGTGTGTGTGTGTGTGTGTGTGTGTGTGTCAAATGCGCAAAACAGGCAAGGCATCGCGATCACCATCATGACCGTGAGTGCTGCGTACGTTCGAGGACGGCGATTTGTGCCTCAACACGAGACCGCGCCCGCAGCCACTGCAAACACGAGAGAGAGAGAGAGAGAGAGAGAGAGAGAGAGAGAGAGAGAGAGAGAGAGAGAGAGAGAGAGAGTGTGTGTGTGTGTGTGTGTGTGTGAGTGATAACAAGAACAAGAACAAGAACAAGAACAAGAACAAGAACAAGAGCACCAGTGCCACTACCACCACCAACATGATCACCACCGTCACGGATGTCGGCACCTGCTCGTGATCGATGACGGCAGCAACGGCGAGGTCGAGGCAGTCGGACACATCCACGGCGCTGTTTGTCAGCTGCGACGTTTGCTGCTCACGCGGCACGTGGAGGCGAGATGGGGGAGAAGAAGTGAAGTGTGAGGTGGGTTCAGCAACGACGGTGTGCAGAGGCACAATAACAACGGTATAGAAGGCACGCAGACGCAGACAGATGGACACACAGACACACAGACACACAGACAGATGGACACACAGACGCACACGCACGACCACACACACCCACCCACACCCACGACCACACCCACACGACCACGACCACGGCAAGCGTACCTGTTTCTCCTTGAGTGCGAGTGTGTCTGCGATTGCGGTCTGCAGCTGCTTGCGTCGCTCCAGCAGCTCTGCCCGCCGCCGCGCCAGTGCACGCGTGCCCCGAGACGACGACTGAAGGGGCGGCAACCAATGATGAGGACGATGTTGATGTTGATGTTGACGGTGATGGTGATGATGATGATGTGAGCATGTGTAGGGCGATGTGTGTGTACTCGTGCGGAGCGTGATGGACAATTATGAAAAATTATGAAACTGCACAGAGCAGTCATGACAGAGTGTCAAGACACCAAAACAGCCACAAGCGAAACGCACGACACAGCACAACACAACGCATGCCACGACAGCACCTGTGCAGCGTCCTTGCGCAAGGCGATGAGCTGGGGAAGATAGCTGTCCACGAACCCGGCGACGGTGGCCGCAAGCTCCTGTTCAGAAACGCCGCCCTGTGGGCCCGGTCATCGTGGTGCAGGAGTGCCAGAGGAGGAGGAGGAGGTGGTGGTGCAGGGGTGCCCGAGGAGGAGGTGGTGGTGGTGGAGGAGGAGGAGGTGGTGGTGGGTGCACATGCAAATGGGTGAGGGAGAAAGCACATGAGCAGACAGAGAGAAACGGTCATACATGAGCAGACAGACAGACAGATACACACACACACAGGCAGACAGGCAGATACACACAGACACATACAGACACCCAAAAGCGCTGTGTTCACCTTCTTGCGCTTGCGAGAGCCTCTGCCTCGACGAGTGGGCGTCCCATCATCATTATCATCATCATCATCGTCATCATCATCGTCATCGTCGCCATCACCACTATCCTTCTTGCTGGTGTTTTCTGACACGAGCACAGGCTTCATCTTGTTTTCCGCAGAGAAGAAGAGCTCAAGCTTGCTGTTGTGGCGATGCGCACGGCAGAACGCGTGAGACAACAGGTGGGGTAGTATATGGGTGGTTTCACGTCTACAAGTGGATACACACACGCAAAATCACACAAACAAACAAAATCTCTCTCTCTCTCTCTCACACACATATACGCACACACACACAAACACACACATACGCACACACACACATACGCACACACACACACACAAACACACACACACATACACACACACACACACACAGATACAGGCACGGCACAGATCATGCAGCGACCTTCTGTCGACGGTTTGGATGTAGTAGTCAAAGGGCCCCGACGTCCACGAGACGCCCTCGCCAGAACACGTGATCTTCTCAACCTTCAGGATCGAGCCCAGATTCGACCTGCAGACGTGGTGGTGATGGTGATGATGATGGTGATGATGGGTGGAGGAGGAGGTGGTGGTGATGGTGGTGGCGTTGGAAGGAAGCAGAAGGTGCATGTGGCGTGCGATACGATATGTGCCTTGTGTGTGTGTATGCCTTACAGGGTCCTGTGCGTGATGGAGAAGTCGAGTGGGGAGAAGTTAAGAGAGGAGACGATACGGCAGCCCTCTTTGCACTCGCCGAAAATGTCCTTCAGTTGTTGATTCAACTGAATACAAAGAGCAACACAGTGTGAGTGCACGTACCAGCAGGAACATGCCATGTGGTCAAAGGACAACGCAGCTAGAGAGAGAGAGAGACGCACACACACACACACACACACACACACACACACACACACACACACACACACACACACACACACACACACACACACACACACACACACACACACCCACGCACCCATACGCAGCCTTCCTCCCCCCCAAAAAACGCCGCACCTTTGTTCCAAAAGCAAAGTTGTTGACGAAGATGACATCGGCGTTCTTAATTTTGTCCCGCAGCGCCGGGTCGAGGAAGTCGTTCTGTGTGAGTGTGAACGGGCCGTGCCTCTTGCCAAACCACCGCATGAGCCGTTCAAAGTGGTGCTCCATCAGCTGCAAGGCATGTACGCAGAGGGGACAGGAGTTGATGGGGACAAGACACAAGTGTGCAATGTACATGTGATCGGGTGAATGGGTCGTGAGCGTGAACAAGAAGCGGAGTTGCAGGTGGACACACGCAGGCGCATGAACACACACACACACACACACAGACACACACATGCACACACAAACACACACACACAGACACAGGCAGACAGACAGACATACGCAGACACCACATACGCAGAGAGAGAGAGACACACACACACGCAGACACACGCAGACACACAGACAGACAGACAGACAGACATGATGTGTCTATGAGCTGCACCTTTGCGTATTCCGCGGGGATGTCTTGTTTCTCGACACCAAACGCCTCTTTGCACATCGCCTCCCCCGCCACCTGCAGCACAACCTGGCCAACACCTGGACCAGCGGACACGGGCGCCGTCATTGCATACAGTAACATGTGCTTTGGTGAGATGAATGGCACAAGGCAAGAGTAAACAAAACACACACACACAGAAAGAAGCAGACAAGCATACACACACACACACACAGAAAGATGCAGACAAGCATACACACAGAAAGATGCAGACAAGCATACACACACACACACAGAAAGATGCAGACAAGCATACACACACACACAGACAGACAGACAGACAGACAGACAGACACAGGACATCATCGCCGCACCGCTGCCGAGGTCAATGAATGTGTGCTCGGGCTTGATGGGCACCTTGGCCACAATCTCGGAAATCATGTTAAACGAGAATTCGCCGTACACCTCCTCAGTCCAGCCCTTGTACTTGTTGAGCCGGCCAGGGTCCGTCACAGACCGGTTGTACACCTGTACACACACACACACACACACACACACACACACACACACACACACACACACACACACACACACACACACACATACACACACACACATGTGAGCGAAGGATGGGCCTAAAGGCAGCAGTGGCAATGTGTTAAACTGTTTTGTGAAGGCAAACGGGTGTTTGTGGGGAGGGGCAAAAGAACGGCAGCCCAACGTGCCATTGTCATGATGTGATGCATCATCTCCGTGGTCGCGCGTGTGTTCGGGCCGTCCCCCTGCCAGCACCAAGAAGGGAGGATTTGGGGATGGTGGTGGTGGTGGTGAGGAGGAGGAGGAGGTGTGGCTGTGACAGGATGCAACGCCTTTGAGTAAATACAAGCAAGGATACGAACACACACACATACACACATGTACACATACAGATACCACATACAGATACACACACATGCACGTACACACACACACACACACACACACACACACAGCCGCGAAGGTACGCGTGCACCTTGAAGTGGGCGCGAATTTCGCCGATGCAGGAGTTGTACGCTTCAACGACACGAACAATCGACGCAAAGCTGCCAAGAGGCATCAGCGTGGCACGCGGTGGATATGAGCCAACACAGTCAACAGCGCCAAGCAGTTGCCAGCACCAATGAAGTAATCAGGCGGGCAGCTAGCCAGTGGACAGCGAACGTTTCGCACTGTGTGCACAAACGTCACGACACGACACACCAGTTGCCCCTTCCTCACAAACGTACTCTGCGGTGTTGACTGCATTCATCAGTGCAAAGAAGCGCGCAGTTGTCGCGTGCGCATTGACCTCCGTATCGCTGAGTACCAGTCTGGCGGGCACGACAGTGCAGTCGCAATCATGTTGAGCGGGTGTATGTGAGGTGTCGGTGTTGATGGCGATGTAAGTGTGTGTGTGAGCATGCATGCATGCGTGCTTGTGTGTGTGTGAGCATGCATGCATACTTGTGTGTATGTGAACACGCGAGTGAGCAAGTATGTGTGCGTGTGTATGTGTGCAAGTGTGGAGATGGGCAAGTGACCGTGTGTGCGTACACGTGTCGCCAACCTCATCGTCTCAAGTGCTTCAAGAAGTGGATCAAATCCCGTCGACTGCAGTGACAAACAGTATGTGGCAGTGAGCAGTGATGTGCGATTGGCGATTGGGTTGCATGCACACACACACAGACACACAGACACACACACAGACACAGACACACACATATACGCAGACACACACACAGACACAGACACACACACACACACATACGCAGACACAACACGGCGTCGACTCACGGAGATGGTGGGCGGCCACTGGTAGAAGAGCGGCTCCTGCCCGGCGACGGGGCTGTTGAGCGCCACGTGCGGCCGGGTCAGGTCAACCGGTGGCATCAAATCTGGCGCATCAAACCACTCCGCCGTCAGGCCCTTGTTGGAGTGGAACGGTGCTGCGCGCCACTCCTGCCCCGGCGGCGGGAGCGGCGTCTCGTGCGCGCTGCTGAATCGCGAGTGCGGGCGGGAGTGCGTCCGTGACTGTGGACCCGACAAGCCAGCAGCACGCGGCGTGCCGGGTCTGCTCGGGTTCTGGCTCACTTGCAACGACCGCGGTAGTGCTGACAGGGGTGCAAACTGCGATGCAATGCCTGAATCCTGCTGATGAGACTGTTGCTGGGTTGGGTTTGCGTCTGCCGGTGTACTTCCACTGTCAGCGCCACCGGCATCGTCACCAGTCGATCGTCGGCGCCGCCGCCGCTGCTGCTGCTGCTGCTGTGGTTGACTGGGGCCCCTGTCAGTGGTGGGAACGGCTGCCGCGTTGTTATTGTTGCTGGCGTTGGTGTTGGTGTTGTTGGTGTCGTTGCCGTTGGAGTTGCTGGGCGCGGTTGGGGCTGTCATGGTCTGTGAACGTTGGGAGGATCCCGACGAGCCATCAGCAGCGCGGGAATCCATGCTGGCTGAGGCAGCAGCAGCACAAGTCACCGGCGTACGTTCTCTGCACACCACGCAAGCACGCGAAAGAAGAGCAGGAGCAAACGTTGCCACGGCGTGATGAGACAGCATGCCAGTGATATACCCGCCAAGCAAGCAAGAGTTAGTGTGCTCGGACGAGTCCCCACACAACACAACGCATGCGTGTGTTCATGTAACTTCTTTGCCAATCAACCACACACACGTGCACACGTGCACACATATGTGTGTGCATGACACTGGATGCATGCAAGCAGTGAGACGAATCCATCTCTCCATACGTTTGCGATGCCGTTGAGCGTCGGTGATTGGTGATGGATGCACCTGTGTTCAGCGCCAACCAAAGCCGCGTGTTGCTGTTGTTGCCTCACTCAGGTCTTCTCTTGCGCGATCAACAGGAGGGAGGGAAGAGGCACGCGTTTGCAAATTGCGGAGTTGGCGGGAAGCGCAATTGGCAAATTGGAACTACATATTGCGACGATGGTGGTGATGATGACGAGTGCGCTCATTCTCCCATCATCACCACAAACAAAAGCACAAGCGCACACAAGACCTCCACACACAACACACACACACATACAAACACACGCACACAAACGCTCACAAAGACACACACAGACGCACACACACACACACACAGCCATGACGGCGCTTGGTGTGGGTGAGATGAAGGTGTTTGATGAAGCAGGGGAGGAGCACACGATGGCGGAGCTGTGCGACAACCGCAAGGCCATTGTTGTGTTTGTGCGGCACTTCTTGTGATTCTACTGCAAATACTACATTGAGGACCTGGCCAAGGTGCCGCAAGACCACCTCGGCAACGTGGCTGTCGTGGTCATCGGCTGCGCACCGCACCGCTTCATCGCGCCCTTCAAGAAGGAGACAAACTTCCCCTTTGAGCTCTACTCCGACCCAGACCGCAACGTGTACAAGTCCCTGGGCCTGAAGCACGCGCACGCGTCGGCATCTAAGAGCGAGCACATGCGCTCCTCTGTCGTCATGGGCCTGCTCCAGTCCACCTGGCGTGGCCTGAAGAGCATGCGCATGCAGGGTGATGTCAAGCAGCAGGGCGGCGCGTTTGTGGTGGATCAGAAGAAGCTCATCTTCTCCCACCAGGACAAGTCCCCAGATGACCATTGCCCCATCAACACCCTCCTCACAAAGGCCGGCTTGGAGACCTTCTTCTAGCCATGTGTGGCGGACAATTGCGCGCCGTCTTCGCTTCCGTATGGCTATAGCCGTTGTTGTACCTGAATTGTTGGTTGTCACGTCGTATCAGCTGTCACATCACAACATTACAGCGGTTCGGACAGCACGACGGGATGCGTTGTCTTCTCCTTGCTTGTTGCTTGTTTCCTGTTGTTGTCAGCTCAATTCCCAGTGTCAACTGTCTCCATTTTTTTTTTGTTTTTCGCTGTGCCGAGCCTGCGTTGTGTCACATTCTTGCGCAGCAAGTCCAGTCTGAGCATGCACACCAAGTATGCGCGCGACTGCGTTGTGATGGCCCTGCTGGGAAACTCGTCTGCGCACGAGACCACGGGTGCCTGATGTTGGGACTGGTGTGGTTGGCGGTGTGAAAACCAGGTCCTCAAACCAACCACGTCACCTCCCATTGCAGTTGTGAGCAAATGCATGAGTGTGTGTGTGTGTGTGTGACTTTGGATTGTCTTTGTGTCGCACACTCGCTTTCTTGCTTGGAGTCGATCCATTTGTTGTTGACGTGGTGACATGCTGCCATGTTCAATGTGTATACAACTGTGATCAAACACAATTCGCGACACAACAACAACAGATGCCGGAAAGAAACTTTCCCCAAAATGAGGGGCACAACTCAGGCTCAGAATCATGCGAAGAAATGGGTTCACGCAAAGGCATGGTTCATTCACACACATCCACACACACACACACACACACACATATCACAGACACACATACACACACACACACACACACACACACAGACACGCACACACGACCCCTCTCTGCCGCTACGACGACTCTGAGGGCCTGCTGGTGCGAACAGTGGGCAGCGGGGCCTTTGTTGATGACGCAGCCGTGGTGGCGCGCGTTGCACTGGCCGCTGTAGTCGCACGTGTCGACACCCGCCCATCGCCTTCGTCAGGGTCAGCCTGCATACTTGCTGTCGGAGACGGTGCCTTGTCGCGGTTGTCTGTCGCTGCAGTTGCTGTTGTGGCGCTCGTCGTTGGTCGCGTGCTCGTCACATCGCTGCCACTGCCACTGCTTGACTGTTGCTGCTGCTGTTCCTCTGTGTCGTTGGCGTTGTTGCTGTTCTCCTGTGCCGCCGCCTCTTCTGCCTGCTTCTGTGTCTGGGCGTGTGTGTGTGTGTGTGTGTGTGTGTGTGTGTGTGTGTGTGTGTGTGTGTGTGTGTGATGAAATTTGGCAATGGAGAGAATGCGTCAGAAAGGACAATTAGACAACGTGATGGAAGGCTGAGCGCGCGCGCGTTTGCATGTGTGCGTTTGCGCGGCCTCAAAGTTTCGCTTTTCAAGATGTAGACATGACAACACGTGCGTGTTTCCAGTGCCTGTGGTGCACATGCGAGCTCACCTTCAAGTGAATTGAATACACGTGCAAGTTGCCCGCTGTATCGCCAACCTGCATGCAGTCAAACAGCAACCAGTAGCAAGCAAACAACACAAGAAGAGCACACACACACACACGCATCAACCAAACAGAAAGGGGTAAGCGAGACACGAGTGTTTGCGGCGGCATGACAACATGCACACGTCAACATCTCAAGCCGCACGTGTGCAGTGTGTGTATGTGTGCGTGTGTGTGCGTGTGTGTGTGTGTGTGTACGCACCACGAGGTATTCGCGCTGCGGGTTGAAGAGAACACAGGAGAGCTGTGCACCCTTGTGCGGCTGGCACGAGAAGACGGGGTCTTGCTCGAGATCCGCCAAGTTCCACAGGAACAGCTTGTCGTCACTGCGGTCGCATACAGTCACAGCGATGGTGGTCGTGAGCAAGGGTGAGCAAGGGTGAGCAAGGGTGAGCAAGGTTGAGCGAAGCGGAACGGGAGCAACACAAGCGGGAAAGCAGGGTTAAGGAACCCGCTCGCAAGACATGAGAGACGCACAACACACAGCACACACCACATAGCACACGTCCGCACATCCACAACAGCGACACCCTTCCCCTGCCTGCCCTGGTTCGTGTTGCACGACCTGATGGATGCGAGGACATCACGACGGTGATGGGACCAGCACGCGTCACGAACAGCGCTGGTGGTGCACTGCAGCGTCTGCACGACGTTGCCGGAGTCGCCGTCCCACAGCTTGAGCGACCAGTCCGCGGAGCAGCTGAGGAGGCGGGTGGTGTCGACGGGGCTGTACTGTAGACGGTACACGCTGGCGGTGTGGCCGAAGAAGCTCTCAAGATACGTGTCCGAGTACGACGTGGAGCACTTGTGGATGTTGCCGTCCTCCGTGCCAACCAGATACCTGAGAGTGTTGTGTGTGTGTGTGTGCATGGAGGTGTGTGCGGGTGTAAGAATGTGGAATCAGAGGGGACAACGGATGTTTTCTCTGGGCCACTGCTAGGAACGAAGCCGAATCACACACACACACACACACACACACACACACACATACACACACACACACACACACACAATCAAACAGACAGCGACAGAGCATGCGACGTACAGGCTTGCATCTGTTGGGGAGAATGCCATGGACATAACGCCTGCCTGGCGCGCAATAAACGCTGTCTTGCTGTTGCCGTGGTGCGCTTTGCTGCACAGCGAACGCGGGATGGTGTTCGTAAGGGAGATTGTTAGGCGAATGTGATGGCCAAACTGTAAAGACAAAGAGAGCTTTGTACACTTGCACTCATGCAAGCGAATGAAACGAAACGAACAAGCCTACAAACCGACAAGCCACACGAGCCAACACGAACGTTAATTCGCACCTCTGCGATGCGACACGCTTGACTTTGACGAGGGCAGACGAGTCGAGGCCCTTGTGCAGGTGCCACTGCAGCACGAGCCCATCCGACGATCCAGACACGAGCATCTCCTCCCGGTCGTCGGCGCCCTGCTTGCCGACGAGCGACACAAACTGGATGTCCCACACGGCGTGCGTGTGCTTGCTTGCCGTGTCATTGGGCCTGTGAGTGGGTGAGTGGGTGGGTGGGTGAGTGAGCGAGTGAGTGAGTGAGTGAGTGAGTGAGTGAGTGAGTGAGTGCGTGTGTGTGTGTGTGTGAGTGTGTGTGCGTGTGCGTGCGTGCGTGCGTGCGTGTGCGTGTGCGTATGTGCGTGCGTGCGTGTGCCATGGTGAGCATGGGCGGTTCGACATCAGCACCACGCGAGACATACTGCAACCGTCGCCACCCACGTTGTGTCGAGGAGGGGCTCTGGCTGGTCCTTGTAGACGTCGTAGATGGCGATGGTGCCGGACGCCATACCGACCGCCAGCATCTGCGGGTGTTCGCGAGAGAAGTCGACAGCCATGACGGTGGAGGGGGTGGTGTAGATGCGGTGGGGGTACTGCGGCTGCTTGATGCTCCAGCAGCACAGCATGCCGGGCTCGTCAGGGGACGGCAGCGCCGTTCTCCCATACCCGACGGCGACAATGTCCTGATGACGAGAGGAGTGGTGGTGATGAGTGGTGATGAGTGGTGATGTCAGACACAGACACAGACACAGACACAGACAGACACACACACGCTGTACAAGTGAGCAAGTCAAGCAAGTCCAGCACCATGTACCACCACCTCCATCCCACTTCCCCTTACCGGGTTGGCCTTGTTCCACGCGCAGCACGTGACGACCATGTTCTTTGTTGTGTCACACGCATATGTCCATGCGTGGCGCAGCGGCGAGCGACTGGACGGATCGTCCGTGAGTCCAAAGACGTCGTCCTGCTTGATGAGCGCCTGCTGCGGTGCGAATGTGTCGTGCTCAATCAACCGCTCCAGCAGCTGCAGATGCCGCTTCACGCTCACACTCTCCTTCGCCCTGCGTGATTGGTGTGTGTTGTGTGCGTCGTGCGTGCGTGCGTATGCGGATGCGTTGTGGTGTGTGGACGTGTCGGGGAGAGGTTGTGTGTTGATGTGGTGGTGGGTGGGGTGTCAGTGCTGTGCAAGTGTTCCCATCATCTCGTGTTCATTGTGTGCGCGTATGTGTCTGTGGTGTGCAGGAGTGCCAATGTGTCCACACGCATTGAAGAAATGCGTGCAAGCGCGGCACTTACTTTTCCCACTGTTCCTCTGGCGCCGCTACCGTCTCCTCTTCCTCCTCAACAACTTCCGACACGCCAAAGCCCTGCAGTCGAGAATCATGGCGTGGTGGGGGGGGGGATGAGGGGACGGTCAGAGCGTTAAGGGTGATGGTGAACGGGAGAGCGGTGCAATGATGCAGAAGCTTAGAGGCAGAGGCAAGGTATGCACAACCAGAGCACAAGCAAACGCGGTGACCACATCTCCACGGAGTCATGCAGCGACACAAACAAGCAAGCAGCTAAAGGAGCAACGCACAAACGAACGAATAGAAAGACAGACAGACAGACAGACACAGACACACACACACAGACACAGACACACATACAGCATCCCCTGCCATAAATCAACGGTCAAGCAACCAAACAACAGAAACAACAACACGAGCCAGCAGACAGGAGGAAGACAACTCACGAGCGGGATGTGGTGCTGCTTGAGAAGGGTGCGTGGATCCTGCAATGCAATCACGGGGCCTTTCTCCCGCGCAATCACCTTCGATGCCATGTTCGCAAACGAGTTCTTGCCTCGCACCTGTTGGGCGCAGACGTGTGCGCGCGAGTGTGTGTGTTTCGTGTTAGCGTGCTTCATGTGAGTGCGTGCTTCATGTGTGTGCGTGCTTCATGCTACATCATGCGCCTTGTCCACTCACGCCTCCGCACCCACGCGAGCACCGCAACCCCGCCCCCCCCACACACACACGTCGCAACACCTTTGAGCGGAGTTTCGTGAGGGCGTCGAAGCAGTCGTGGATGTCGGCAATGGAGACCTGGCAGTCTGCACTCGCAACCGACCGTGGCGCTGTTTGCATGGCCTGGGTTTGAAGCCGCCGTGGTAGTGGTTGTGGTGGTGGTGGTGATAACAACGTGAGCGCGACGACAAGGATGACATATGTGTGTTGCCAGCGCATGAGGGCGTGTGGGTGGGTGGGTGCACGTGTGTGTGTATGAGTACGTTCATGCGCAAGAGTGTGCATGCGTGTGCACATGTGTGGCACCTGCTCCTTCTGCAGGAAGACGGTGGTCTGTGTAAAGCGGTCGGTGAAGTCGTCGGGGATGGTCTGCTTCTTCTCAAGCAGCGCCTGACCAGCGCAGACAATCGCGATTGGGGTGTTGGGGGAGGGGGGGGGAAGGTGGGTTGAGGGAGGCTGAGGATTGGAAAGCAATGATCACAATCGACACAGGCACAGACACAGGTATACACACACAGATATATGTGTATACACACACCCACACAGATATACACGCACACACGCACACACGCACACACAGCAGCGGCACCGACCTCATATGCGTCGTTTTCCTTCTTGATCTCCTCGTGCACGGCCTCATCGTCATCGGGGATCCACGTCGGCGGCACGTCCAGCAGCGATATCGTGTCTGTCTCCTCCAATTTGATGTACACCTGATACCACCACACGTGCCGCGCACGTCAGCGCACGCGCGGGGTCATGTGTGTGTGTGTGTGTGTGTGTGTGTGTGTGTGTGTGTGTGTGTGTGTGTGTGTGTGTGTGTGTGTGTGTGTGTGTGTGTGTGTGGATTGTGTACATGCAGGCATTTCGAAACGTGTCGGGCAAAGGGTCAACCACTGGGCATCGTAACATGACCACTGCTGATCTCCGCCCTCTGTTCTGCTCCTCCACTGTGCTCCCTCAAGCGAACATCCACCTCCACACCTTCCACACACAACCCCACCACCACTATCACCACCACCACACGCCTCCGCATCGCACATACCATCTTGTTAAGGTCGGCATCGGTGAGCTCCTCCTCCTCCTCCTTGGGCATGGCCACGTCTGCTGGCTGGATGATTGTGTCGTCAATCTCGTCAACGTCAAAGGCGCTCTCCCGCCGCTGGCTTGAGTCTGACGTCGTTGAGCGCGTGCTCGCGCCCATGTACGAGAAGTGCGGCAGGCTCATGGCCATCGAGCCCTCCGCACTGCTCATCATGCGCGACCCCCTTTGGGTGGTGGCGTGTTGGCGGCGTGTTGGTGTCATGATGACGCAGGGGTGAGGAACGAAAAGATAAGAGGTACAAAGAACGGGAGGTGGCGGAACTGGCACAACACACGGAACAGGATGCACACAGTGACAAACGTCCACTTGCATACACACACACAAAGCATGTACAGACACACACACACACATGTACAGACACACAAGCATGTACAGACACAGACACATACACACACACATGCACAGACGCACACACACACATACACAAGCATGTACAGACGCACGTACCAAGACATCTCCTTTGGCATGGCCATGGTGTCCATGAAGTTTGTGCGTTCGACCCTCACATCCTCGATGGTTTTGCGGCGATGCGGCTCAAGCAAGCTGCGCGGCGTGACATCGTGACCACTCTCGTCCAAGTACTGCAGAGCGTGCTTGTCCTTGCGTGTGTTGTTTGAGCTCGTGCCACGCGAATATCCTCTGCTTCCCTTGCGACCAAACGCACTGCAAGCAACAAGGTGTTTGCAAACACCGCACATCAGCAAGAGTATGGGTGACGATTGAAGAGGAAGGAAGAAACAAGAAGAAGGGAAGCCGAAGAGGAAGGAGGGAGGGAGGGGGAAATAGAGACGAAGATCGAAGCAGTGGCACGAAGGGCAGACACAGCGACTCACGAAGTGTTGCGACTGGATGCAGACGATCCATTGGAGCTGGCACCAAGACAAGACCAAACAGCAAGCAACAACAATGAGAAACAACGCTGTTGATGCAGTGCAGCCAAAGACACACGCACACACACACACTTTCACTCACTCACACGCTCACACACACACGCTCACACACACTCACACTTTCACTCACTCACACACACACTCACTCACTCTCACACACACATATCACACCTGTGTGGATGCATCGTGAGTCGTTGCGGCTGCTGTTCACCGTTCACTCTCTACTGTGTGTGTTCTTTCGCCTGTGTCTCTTGGCAACCAGTGAGTGCAAAAACCAGAGATCATCAGTTCAAATCCCTTCATTGCCAATCACGATACTGTAACCTTTTTTTAGCGGGCCAAATTTTCAGCCCCACACCACAAGCCAAACAACGCCAAACAACGCCCCTCCCACCCACCACGCTCTCCACACAACACAACACACAACCCTGCACAACCCAGCACCAACGAGCCAAGCATCCGCCAACAAACGTCGGGTTGGTGTATGCAACTGGCACGTCCTACATTTCAACGTAGGCGCACCAAGTCAGGGAGAGGGGTTGATCACGCTCGCCAAAGTGAAGCAAACGAAAAGAGAAGAGGAAAGGCGGAGTAGAAGAGCGAGTGCGGCGAACGTGTTGACAGCAAGTGGCGAAGAACACAGGACCTTGGCATTGGCAGCGCCATCTGCGCCCGTCCTATTTGAGAACCTGTCCATTCCGTCGAGAGTCGTGCTGCTCGTTCCCAACACGCACACAACCAGCCATGGGACAGGGGCACAGCTCTCCTCACCAAAGGAGGTGTGTGTGTGTGTGTGCACTCGGGTGTCTTTCGTCTCCTAATGTGATCACCTCTGGAAGTGCGCTTGTTTGTCTGTCCACACGTTCACTCTCACACGTGCACCCCCACACACCCTCACGCGCCAAATGCACATGACTACCAATGCCACCGCCACCACCACCAATGCCACCGTTTGTGATCACTTCAACTACTGAGCAGGAAAGGGAAGGCTGATCTGTCCACGGCCATGATGGACATTGGGGCCGTCACGGACGAGTCTGTTCCAGTCGACGACTATGTTGACGAGCAAGTGAGTGGGCTGTTGCACCCGCTTGTGTGTGTGTGTGTGTGTGTCGTGCAGTCTTGCGTGCTCCTGCATGGTTTGCACGTGTGCTCTTGCATTCGTGTTGTTGTGGTTTGTGTGTCCTGCTTCTTGTGGATGGTGTAGTTGACTGCCAACTCACCCCACCCCACATTGTGTGCGTGCGCTGTACTTGTCAGTTTGCGGATGAGATTCGCAAGCAGCGCAAGGAGGCGCTCGATCAAGGCAATGTGACACTGCGCGGTGGACTGCCACTCGGCTTTGAGACCGACAGGGTAAGCGTGCCCCAAACCATAGAGGGTGCAACCCACCTGTGCATGATGCACCACGCGTGATGCAAAGCCAACACACACACACACACACACACACACACACACACACACACACACACACACACACACACACACACACACCCATACACACGTACACACATGCATACACACATGCACACCTGAGTAAACAGAGCTTGCTCCTTTTCCATCAACGGCTTCACTCACCCTTCACACATCCACTCATCTCCTCCATCCTCTTTATCCGCCCGCTGGTGTTCGCAGCCGCAGAGCCTGCACGAGGAAGCGGGGGATCTGGAGAGTTATGTGGCGCAGCTGGAGGCATCTGGCGACAGCAACCGCCACTCCTCCATCAGTCGCTTCGACGCGTCTCGTCTCGGCTTCCAGAGCATGCCCTCCGTTCCAGAGAACAGCGAATTCGACTTTGATGGTGCGTATGCGAGTGTATGCGAGTGTATGTGATGGCTTCTGTGATAGTGTGTGTGTGTGTGTGACAGAGGGTGTGTGTGTAATAGTGATAGTGTGTGTGATAGAGGGTGTGTGTGTGTGATAGAGGGTGTGTGTGTGTGTGAATAAGTGTGTGTGTGTGAATAAGTGTGTGTGTGTGTAATAGTCATCGTGTGTGTGTGTGTAATAGTCATCGTGTGTGTGTGTGATAGTGGACAATGTGCGAGGATTTTGTTCGGTCGCCTTCTTGTTCATCGCTCTCATTCGGTGCTGTTTTACACCCCCTCCTACACCCCCTTCGCCGCAGAGACACGCAAGTTCCACTACGACGTGAACGAGCGATTGTGGTTCGCTGTTGAGCACCTCGCCAGCTTCTCCGTCCCTTCAAAGTCGCAGCCGCCAACCGCACACCACGGGCTCGACCGTGTCAAGGTTGGTTGATGCTCGTGTCGGGATTGTGAGGGACAGGGGGTGGGGGTGGGGAAGGGAGTGAGTTGGTGTTGCAACGCTGCAGCGCTGCTCACAGGCATGCGCGCGAGATTCAACACGCATGTGCACACACTCATCCAAATTAATACAATTGCAACAAAGCTCCAAACACACTACACACAACGCGCGCACACACACACTACACACAACACACACATATATACACACACAACACACACACATACACGCACACACACACACACACACCAACTCAACTATGCTCCAATTTTCGTTGTTGTCTTTCTCCTTCAAGGAAAAAGGCAACTTCTGGACAAAAGCGGAGGAGCTGCGTGTGACGTCAACACACGTGGAGGTCCGTGATGGTATGGGCGGACACGAGAGCAAGTCGTTTCGCCTGGAGGACATTCTCAGCGTCAAGGCGTTTTACGGCGACGACGACTTTGGCGATTGCATCGTGTTTGTGACGCGCCATGACAAGGTGTACGCCGTGCACGTGTACCAGTGCAACGAGACGCACATGAAGCAGGAGGACAGCAACGGGCGGCTAGCCACCAAGACGGCAGCCACAGACCTGCAGGCACGCGCGCTCTCACGTGCACTGGAGGAGAAAATTGCACCCCTGCGTGGTGCGGGGGCAGCCAGCATGCAGCGGCGCGGCGACAAGGCCGACAAGCGCTTCTTCAGCTCGCACAACGCGCAGGCTGTTGCACTTGAGGGCAGCGTCTCGCCCGAGGACCTCACACACACGCAGCGGCTGCTTGGCATTACAGAGACGGTGCTGTCACTCGTGCGCGGGCTGTTGCGCGACATTGAGGCGTTTGCCGCGCAGTGCACGCAGCAGGACGACAAGCCCGGGCACGATGACTACTGCGATGTGTACTACCAGGTGCGGGCCGTCGTGTCGCTGATTGCCATGCCAGACTACACGGCGGAGGAGGCCGAGGAGCAGGCGGAGGACATCATGCACCGGCTCTGCGCGCTGCTCAAGAAGATTGTGCGCTCGCAGAAATCGTTTGATCTTGTGCGCACCATTCGCATGCCCGGACTCACGGAGGCAGGCCTCTCGGTACGCTCCCAGCTGCACGAGCGAATGAACGAGCGAATGAACGAACCAACGAACGAACGAATGAATGCATGAATGAATGAATGCGTGATTGCCGCCTGCTGTTGTCATGGGTGTCTGCTGCGTTGTTGATGTCACTGCACCGTGTTCTCGCTCTTCACGCACTCTTACATGGCTGCTGTTGATGTTGTCGTGGTTTGCGCTTGATAGTTGGTGCAGAACACGCTGAATGACAAGGACCTCCAGTTCTGGCGAACGCTGCAGACGCACTGGAATGTCAGCGTTGATGAGCAGGACGCCTTCAAACGATACACACCCACGTACAAGACAAAGTAAGTCGTGGGCTCGTTGGCGTGTATGGCTGAGGAGGGTTTCATCTCAACATCACGCACGCATGTGTCCACGAAGATACTCTCATGCACACACACACACACACACACACACACACACACACACACACACACGCGCGCGCGCGCGCGCTCTCTCTCTCTTATTCACACACAAACACACACACACACAAACACACACACACTTATACACACACACGCGACACACTCCCGAACACACACACGAACACACGCACGCACATAAAACACCGCCTTCCTCACCGCCTTCCCCATCACCACGCATCGTCAGGGACCCGAATGCGGCTGCATCGGAGGAGGGCGCCAGCAACTTTGGCTTTGATGACGACGTGCACGAGAGCGTGAGTGTTGCCGGGGCAGCGCGCCCTCGGCTGAGCACAGCGAGCACCGCCATCATGGTCGACAACGACGATGGCGACGATGACGACGCCGCCGTGGAAGCGGAGGAGGCGAGGGACGTGCTTGGACTGCCACCACCGATTCCAGATCGCCCGTCGTCAACAGAACTTGGCCTGCCACCGGCACCGCCACCGCCACCTCCATCGCTCACGCCGGAGGCACAGGCAGGGCTTCCACCCGCACCACCGCCGCCACAGCTCGCGCTAGGACCAGCACCGCCGCCGCCGCCACCAGCAGCGAGTGTACTGAAGAGGCCGTCACTGGCGCAGCTTCCCTCTGTTGCCGAGCGCTCGCGGCGGTTTGACCAGTCTGCAGCGCAGCCCGCACAGTTCAACGGTACGCAAAGGAGGAGGAAGTAGGCGGGGGGGGGACTTTGTGTGTTGATGTGAACGAATGTGGGTGGGTGTATATCCTCTGCGTGTGCATGTGTGTGTGCGTGTGTACGATATTGTCTCAACGCTTGCCATTCTGCATGCAGCTCTCCCCAGTTTCACACCACACTACTACTACCACCACCACCACCACCCCCATGTGGCAGGCATCCCACCGCCCCCGAGCGCCCCGGCACCTACGCGGCTGCAGGCGGCACGGGCGAGCCTGACGGGCACACAGGACATGCCGCCACGACCACAGGGGCCGGCACCACGCCCGCCACCACCGGCTGCAAGCGACTTCTACGTGCACTCGCTG